AATGTATGAAAGATAATGTATTGAGACGGAATTTATCGGGACAAGTGTTTTTTGTATCAACAAAGGTAATGTATTCGGACGCGATGTATATGAAAAAGTTGTCTTGTATCAACAAACGTAATATATTGAGACATAATATATTCGGACCTTGAGTGATGTATTCAAAATTTAACTTTAAAGAATTTTTTATAATTTAAAAAAAAGTTGGGATAAAAATATAATTATCTCTTAACACTATAAAATTTGCGTAATATATATTTATATATAAAATCAAATATATAACTTTTTTAGTGTTGTAGCCCAAAAAAATGAAAAAGGGAGTACAGTGACAATATAAAGATAGTCGCATATAAAATTAATTAATTAATAATGATCAGATGAGAAGGTGACAAAATGTGGGTGATGTTTTGTATAAGACACGTTGCAACTATTCCTTTCTCACACTTTGTGCCATCCAAATTCAATGGCATTTGCTAAGATAACATTTACTCGCATTTTCAAATTGAGTATTGTCTACCATGATTAGACACCGAGCCAAATCAATGGCGAGTTTTATTAGTTTAACTGAATATCGTATTTTATTTAAATAATATATATATATATATATATATATATATATATATATATATATATATATACGCGATAAAAATAGGAATAATGATAGAAATATATTTTTTATTTACTTATTATCAGTATTCTCAATAAGTTTTCACAAATCTTTAAAATTTCTTATTTTTCTCTTAAGTCAAAAATATCATTAATACATTTGATTCTTTATTAATATATCCGATCTTTCTTTTAATGTACTGGAGCATGTATTCGACTTTCTTTTTAATGTATAAGTGCTTGAATTTTGGCTATTAATGTATATGGACCCTCCATTAATGTATCTGCTCCTGTTTTTATTGTATCACCGCATGTATTCGACTCTCTTTGTCATGTATCAACACTTTGATTTTCTTGGCTATTAATATATTCGGACCTTCCATTAATATATTCGTTTCATAAATTTCTGTAATTATAAACTTTTAAGGGATAGGTTGTAGTTTTATCTTAAAAGTAAGTGATTTATATAATTTTCCCATAAAAATTTAGTTATTTTGAATTTTTCTAGCTTGAAATCATAGGCTTTATCTTTGATTAAAAAACAACTCTTTATTTTTCCTCAATGCTATCATATAGATTTCTTATACAATCACAAATAATTTTTATCTCGTAAAATTAGATTTTGTAGTTGAGTTCATTTTTAACGATGATATTAGAATCGTCATTATTTTCCTCAATGTTGCCCCTTGGTAAAATTATATAAAAATGTATATGTTGGCCCATCCCAGTTTATTAAAGTGCAATCAGAAATGTCCAAATGGTTTTAGCTAATTTGCAATTAAGGTTTGTCGTCTGAGTTTTTTAAGTGCACGTCTGTATATATCCACAGAAATTGATTAATTGAATGATAAGATAAGATAGGGTATATTATATTACATAGTATGATATGAAGCAACTTAGACCATAATAAGTAGGTGGTTTAATTTGTGGCCAAAATTAATCATTTGAAATGACGAATATTCATGTGCTCGTCACTTTCATTAAATAATTAAAAGCATGCAAAAACTTTAATCAACAATTCATCGTTGTTATATATGAAGTGATAACCCTTTAATTTGGAGTTAGTGAAGATATGTCAGTACTAAACTTTAATTAATCCAAAAATGGATAATTAAGAACCTTAATAAGGTGACTTAAACGGTAAAACCTCATATTTAAATCATAAGTTTAATTTCTTTTAATCATCTCACTGTAAACGAAAACCATTGATCTGTATATAATATTCAAATTTGAAATATCATTATGGCGAAAGAGAAATATCTTTAATTTCGAAAAAAATTCACAATCTATTTTGATTTATTTATTTATTTAAAAAAAATATTTTTTAGGCTTCGAATTCAAGGTCAATAACGAGTTAGTAACAATTAACAGCCACAAGCTAGTTTATTACCTCTGGTTATAAATTTTTTTTTAAAAAATGACAAAATTCTTATTATACTAGTTTTAAAAATGGTCCAAACTGTTTGACGTCACACAGACTTTTTTTTCTTGTAAATTCTAACACTAAAATATATATTATCTTCTAGATTCGTAAAGTTAATGGCCTTTGCTTTCACAATCTGATAAGTCTACTTTTAGCAAATTTTAAAAATGAAAATAATTTATTTAGCTTGGACCCTCCACATTTTTTAATTTAAGAAAATAAATAAAGGTAAGTAGCCTGAGCGTTGTGAAAATTATATATGAAGAGGCTGCATTAAAAATGCCGACCAAAAAAACAAGTTAAAGTGGCCAACATACATTAATCTCTCATGGCACCTTTATAGCTATCAACCACTATTAGTATCAACAATACTTACTAATATTAGTAATATTTGGAATAATCATGCAAGAATTATTTTATGCGGTGTTTTGTTTGATATATTAAAATAACGTGTATTATTATATAATTTCTTTTTTTTAAAAAAATATTTATTTATAAATATAATGAAAAAAAAATATTTTTTGAAGGCGTGTAAATGTATTATAGTTATACTAATGTATGCATTATTAATGTTATAAACTTTCATGTGTATCAATTAAACATAACATAATATCAACTATCAAATAGAATATATCATTAAATCTAAATTAAAAGAGTGAATCAAATAAAATACTAATGATACACTAGTCAATATATATATGATATTTTTTTTGTAATGCACTCTATTAAGTGATTTATGAATAAATTATAGATAGTGTATATTTATTGTGGGACTCATTAATTAATTGGTATAGTTTTAATGAACCTGAAATATGATTTGTAATGAGTAGTTAAATTTTTTTTTTCCTTTGATGATATGTTAAAGTAGATAAGTAAAAATTATTTTATTTATTTTAATTTATGTGACACATCATATTTTGACAAAGAATTTTAGAAAGGAAAAAAACTTTTTTAATTTTTTTAATCTAAAACAAGCATTAAAAAGAAGGAAAATATTAAGTTTTATGTGTCGGTAAAAATTCTTATACAGTACGCTATTTTAACTTTACTTCCAGGAGTTCCAGCAAAAATGGAAGAAAAAAAATGCAGAAGAAAACACATTAACCAAATTTTGTTACGTCCTAATAGAAAGCACATTAACCATTAATCAGCAATCATTAAAAACTAATTGAAGTACACCCCCATTAACCTATGAATTAATTAGGAACTTCCTCTGGTAGCCTTGACAAGATATTTCACTAATCAGGATATTTTAAAATTATAATTCTGAGACTAAAATCAGAACTATTACTCGCATAACTTTTTCATCTTCTAATAACTTATTCAGATTATTAAATTTTGAATTTAATATTTATTTTTTAATTAACACCTTTAACGAAACATGACATAAGTTTAATCTCAAAATTTAAATCAAAATAATTTACCTAATCCCTCGAATCAAACGGCTTCTAAAAATAAAAACCCTTGTTAAATTAAAAAAAAAACAATAATATTTTTAGAGGTAATTGTAATTCGTAGTACCTCATATTGATTGAGATGGAGGTGGCCCTTTGAAAGAAAACATTCATACATTATAATGCCCCTTATGATAAACTTGTGAAAAAGATGGAAAAGATAAAACATTAAGTGGACTCACCACAAAATAGTGACATCCACGTCATCAATCAATAAATATATGTATATAGGGGCCGTTTGGTTGCAGGTATTAGTTACGCAGATATTAGTAATGCAGGTATTAGTTATGCAGGTATTAGTTATGCAGGATTTAGTTATGCGGGATTTAATTATGCAGTGTTTAATTATACAGAGTTTAATAATTTTTTTGGCTGATGTTTGTTATATTAAAAATTAATAAACATTATATACTTGTTAAAAAATAATTTATTTGTATTGTTATATCTTAGAGCTTTCTTACCATTGTATTTTGATTTGTTTTTTGCATTTTGCTTAGGCAAAGTTTTAGACGGAAACTTGAATGCCACATTTTTCAACTTCCTCATATAGTTGAACCAATATATGACATGTGTTAATACGGGATCAATATTGTAATAGTTGAAAGTTATTGATATGCTAGTATATATAATTACGTGTACACATAACAAAAATAGATACATATAAGTTAACATTGAGCAACACCGCGTACTAATGTTACATATTATATTTGGAGCCTTCACTTCAGTCTGTTCTATCATGCAATAGGCCACTAGAAAGAAAGATATATAACTTTTTTTGTAACAGCAATTGAGTAGCAAGAGTAAGCTAGTGAGAATTGACAAGTTTCACCACTCACCTATTTATGAATCAACTACCATATCTGAAAACCAATTATCCCGAAGGTTTATTAGTTGTGTAAAGTTACCATCTGACATACAGCATGAGAATAGCTTTGTTTATTTGGTGTATTTAGCATTTGCTAATGAAGAACCTTTGTTAGTTTCTCATCCTGTGACCACACGCCATTGGTTTTGTGAAAGATCAGCATACTGCCATATCTTCAAGCTCATATTGCATAGCAAGTCTTTCAACAGTATTTCTACTTATTACTTCTTTCTGGTGCAGTTCCCTTAGGACTACTGATGCAAGCTCCTTGTAATCTTCATGGATGATGCCTTCGACTAGAATGGTATATGTTATCTCATTAGGCATATAACCTTTGCTGATCATGTCCTTTGGCTTAATCTGTATATTTATTTCATCAGTTGCTCAAAGTCCAACTTCAAATTCCATAACAGGATTACAATTCAATTAGTTGCTCTTTTAAATGTTAATATGTTACTTTCACAAAATGTCAATCAAAAGGATTTAAATCCTTGTCTTTGCCACAATTACTATATTGTGTCTGTTACTTTCAACCTGGTAGTGCTTTTTTAATAATGTGATATTCTTTATTTTAGAGCACCTCAACTACGTGACTATACAGATTAAGCCAAAGGAGACAACATTCATCAGGAAAGAATTCACTCACACACAATTCACAGTTAAAATATACACCTTCATTTAAAGTGAATGAAACTTAGCATAATTCATTGTTTAATTACAAAAGTTAACCCATACAACAAAGACATACAATTACATTTTCCCCCAAAAGAAGTCCCCTATTTTTGTAACATTATCCTTCAATGACAAACACATAAACAGCAGCCTCAACAACACTTGACAAAATAGCATCTGAGTACTTTGTACTTCTGACTGGATCTTTGTGATTACCCCAACTGTTGAATAGTCTGCGAGAAAAGAAAAGTTCAATATAGTCTCAGAGAAGAAGAAAATAAAAACATCTTGTAGAAGATGATGAACTTACCGTTTGGATCAACTGCTTGAGCAATCTGAAGATCATTTTAGTTGGCTACTTACAAAAGCACTAATATTGAACATAATCATGTATTTGTTATACAAAAACAACCTACTTTAAGCCCACAGCATTCACATATATGCACATTTGTGGACATTCTACTAGGTAACAAAAGATCCCATTATGGTTAGACCTTACAAAATATCTACACAAAAACCATTCAGTGAATTAAAGCTTATCATTAATAATCATCCATATCATACTGTGACGTTCAATTTCGATGATGCTTAAGAAGAATTCCATTCTCTTTATATCTTGAGTAATTCCCATTGTTGCCTTAACTCGTTCATCTGAGTTGTATATTTCATATGCAGGGGATCCAATAATAGAAAATATCTTACCACGAATTTCAGATAGATCACGCTCTCCTAGCTTGTCAATTAAAGAAGCCATTCTCTTATCATGGCTTTCAGTGAATTGTTTCATCACCTCCATCAAACCTTTAAGAACAGTCTCATTATCATCTTCAACTGTTTTTCTTTTTTTGCATCTACCTTTTTCGTTGACTTTAGAAGATGATGCTTTAAAACAGTTGCCCTTTTTCTGAGATTGATGGGTTTCACCTTTTGTAGCGGTGAATGAACTTTTTGCTGCTCCAGTTGATTCATTAGGTTCAGCTTGAGCAGTAAATGGACTTTGTGTTGCTCCAGTTGATACGTTAGGTTCCTCTTGAGCAGCTTGATTTTCTCTTGTGCCTGAAGCATCATCTATGTCGACAACATCAATAGGAAATCCCCACAGACATGCCATTAGTAATTTCTTGAGATTCAATTCTTTCTATTTCTTCAACAGCATCTTCTGGACCTTCTGCAAACTCTCCAGTAGCTCTATCCTTGCCAAATATCTCTTCCCAGTCAGCAAATAATGGCCATTTTTTAAGTTCATTGATTTGGCATTTGGATCAACCTAGAAAAATAAAGAAAGTAACTGTCAATATTCCAAAGACAGAGATCCATAACCAAGAGAAAATACAAGTAAGTAGAAATTGCGTAATGATTTCAAATAAATATAAATCACCTTTATCAAGTCATCCCAAGCTTTTGGATAATCAACTAAGATACTTCCGTCACTATATTGAAATCCTAAACCACTTCGACTCTTTAGCAACGATATGGTTGCATAACTCTTTTTCCATGCTCTTATTTTAGAATCAACATGTGGTAGAGATTTCAATCCACAACTAGGATGACGAGCATTCATGTAGTGTTCCAATTCCATTAAATATCCATGTCTAAAGGTTCCATTATCTCCTCTCCAACCATTAACACACAATTCTTTTAATCCATCTATAAGAGTAAGTTCCTCTTCTGGAGTCCATATCCTTCGACATGAAGGTGTTGATTTTCTTGCCCTCTTTCTGGACGTGTTGGATGTTGCAGCAGGAAAACTAGCCATTTCAATCTGTAAAATTATAAATGAAATCACAAGTAATACTAAGTTACAACTTACAAGTAAATTATCACAATCATAATCAAATTAATTGTAATACAACTTTATTGGTCTAAGAAAAAGATAATGTGAAGAGATAAAGAGAATTTCACTGCTTATATTATAAAATAATAGATATACATTGAGATTCACTGTTTGTTTGTACAAATAACAATGTGAGACATACAAAAGATTGACCATTCGTTTTCACAAAATAATAGACGGTATTACATTTTACAGTGAATGGAAAATCAAAAGCAAAAGTGCATAAGCACACCAAAAGTTAACACATAGTTTAAAATTATAAAGATTGATTTCCCAATCGTTCATTCCACATAGACTGAGCTAGTTCATCCCTCCAAGTGGTCCACTCATCAGATGTTTCAATTGTATTAATATTTTCATGTTCATGTTGATTCTCCATGTGGAAATCCATTTCCACATCTAAGGGGTCAGCTTCCATCTCTCTTCGAATGAAATTGTGTATCAAACAACATGCACTAATAATTCTATTGTGAACCTTAACTGAGTACCACGAAGGACTTCTAAGAATTCCCCAACGTCCTTTTAATAGTCCAAATGTTCTTTCAATAACATTACGTGCCCTAGCATGCTTCATATTAAAGAGCTTTTCTCGACATCGAGGTGATGGATTGTCACCTTGCCAATCCTTTAGCCAATATCTATATCCTCGATAGGGAGACAGAAAACCATTTCCATTTGTATATCCTCCGTCGCACAAATAGTAATTGCCTAAAAACATAAATAATAATATAATTACTTTAAATATTATTCTATTTTGATGTAGTAGAAATAAACAAGGGTCTGCCTATTATTTAGCATACCATGAGGTACTTTCAACCCATTTCTTCGTACAACAGCATCTCGCAATACACGACCATCAGCGGCTGATCCCTCCCAACCAGGTAATACATAAATAAAGTTGAGATTTCTATCACAAACCCCCAAGACATTAGTTGCTATATCTCCTTTTCGTGTTCTGTATCTTGGTTTATATATTGCTTCAACTCTAATGGAAATGTAAGACCTCTACTGGAGTCCATATCCTTCGACATGAAGGTGTTGATTTTCTTGCCCTCTTTCTGGACGTGTTGGATGTTGCAGCAGGAAAACTAGTCATTTCAATCTGTAAAATTATAAATGAAATCACAAGTAATACTAAGTTACAACTTACAAGTAAATTATCACAATCATAATCAAATTAATTGTAATACAACTTTATTGGTCTAAGAAAAAGATAATGTGAAGAGATAAAGAGAATTTCACTGCTTATATTATAAAATAATAGATATACATTGAGATTCACTGTTTGTTTGTACAAATAACAATGTGAGACATACAAAAGATTGACCATTCGTTTTCACAAAATAATAGACGGTATTACATTTTACAGTGAATGGAAAATCAAAAGCAAAAGTGCATAAGCACACCAAAAGTTAACACATAGTTTAAAATTATAAAGATTGATTTCCCAATCGTTCATTCCACATAGACTGAGCTAGTTCATCCCTCCAAGTGGTCCACTCATCAGATGTTTCAATTGTATTAATATTTTCATGTTCATGTTGATTCTCCATGTGGAAATCCATTTCCACATCTAAGGGGTCAGCTTCCATCTCTCTTCGAATGAAATTGTGTATCAAACAACATGCACTAATAATTCTATTGTGAACCTTAACTGAGTACCACGAAGGACTTCTAAGAATTCCCCAACGTCCTTTTAATAGTCCAAATGTTCTTTCAATAACATTACGTGCCCTAGCATGCTTCATATTAAAGAGCTTTT